CAAAATGGCCAAACCAGTCCATTTCAGCTCACTAATGCCTAAGATATCAATGTTTATGTATTCCATTTCATTTTTGACAACTTCTAATTTTCCCAGATTCATACTTCATTCCATGTTACGATTTTCAATGGATGTTTACAGCTGTTTCTCTTCATTTTGAGTTGTGCCCCATCACCAAATGAAGGTCCTGCGGGCTTTTCTCCCATGAGCTTTACTCCATTTGCTTTATCAAGGTCATCTCTACTTTGAGGAGGCAGCTCTTTCCTAGTCGCATTTTGAGTGCCTTCTAACCTGAGGGGCTCATTTTCCGGCACCATATCTGACAGTGTTTCTCTGCTATGAATAAGGTTTTCAGTGACTAAATATTCAGAAGTAGCTCGTCACTCTTTCTTCCTAGTCTATCTTCATGTGAAAGCTCATCTGAAACCTGTCTACCATGGGTGTCCCTGCTGGTATTTAAAACACCAGTGGCATAGCTTTCAGAATCACAGCAACTCACAAGCTACCACAGTACGACAAACTGATAGATGCACGGTGGCTGTTTGGTTTTAAGTGGAAACTGTCACTTTGAATTTCGAGGAGATCTGTGCACATGTGTAATAACCCTCCAGGGGTGGGGGTGGGGTGTCCATTCGCTCAGGCACCCCCTCTAGTCACCAGAATGGAGGTACGCAGACAGCAAGAGACCAAAAACAGATACCAAAAAAAAGCATGTGTACACCTGCATCTCCACAGTTCTGTCAGGCGTTTGTGGCTGTTCTGATCCTCCCCCTGCTTCGTCTCTCCCAAGATGGTGGCTCTGGGAGCAGCTGAGCATCTTGAATTAGAAAGCAATGGATTTCTTGATTCTGCTACAAATTCCCCTAGCTCTAAGCCTTCCAAGCTTCTAAATATTCCTTTATATGTGGTTCAGAGTTCTAGCACCATGCCCTGAGTCTGTTTGGTCCAGTATTCTGTGTTGTTGTTGATGGCGCTTCTCACTGCACATCTACCTGATCCATCAAGATAACACATATTTATTATGATTCTATTTATGACATATTCAGAAAATGTAAATTATTAGTCAGAGATTAGTGGCTGACTGAAGCTGGGAATAGGAATAGGAATTAGCTGTAAATGATCAAGAGGAATTTCCTAGAAAAAGTAATAGATTCTAAAACTGATTTATGGTGGTAATTATACCACTCAGTAAAGTTACTAAAATCATTTTACTATACACTTAAAATGGGTGAATTTTAAGATATGTAAAAGTTATTTGATAACCCTTTTCAAAGAACAATTTTAATACTACACTAAATTTAAAGGAAGGAATACTAGTGTTACAGAAGATGTCTGGCTTGCTAAGCCTTAAATATTTACTATCTTGTGTTTTACAGAAAGATTGCTGTTTCCTAACATAAGCTTCTACTTTAAGAAATAAGAAAAAGATTAGCAAATTATGTAGAAAGCAAACAAACAAACAAAAAAAGGAAATAAAAACAAAACAGCAAAAATCCCTGAAAATTAGAAGAGAAAAACAGTAGACAAATATCACTGAAACCAAATTCATCTCCTTTGATTAGTAAACATCTAGCCAGACTAATCAGGAAGAAACCGTACTACCAACACAAGTCCTTGGTGTGGCACTGTAGGATAAGCA